GTTCTACGCAAATTGCTGAAGATACTCATCTTATAACCTCAGACAAATTTGTAACAGAGAGCATTGCATATATGGGCTTTATATATTTGGATATCCCACAATCCATTAAAAAAATAGCAATGAAAAAACTCAATTCAACAGAGCGCAAAAACTTCTCAAACCGCAGACACACCTAATCCTGTTCTCTATCCCAGACACCTCCCCAATCGTTATTCTATACCCAGTTTCCTTTTTTTTTACATTTTTCTTTCCCGGGGACAAATATAAAAAAAAAATCTGCTTGGCTTCACTGTTGATCTCAAAACTGGAAAAAAATGGGTTCAATAGAGATCGATAAGGCCGTAAATTAACGCCTTCTGTTTAGAAAAAAAATGTGGCATGCTAGTCGCTAAAACGCTGAATTCACTCGACAAAAGCCTTGACATGTCATACACAATTAACGGAGATCAATTTAAAGTTTTATACGGGCCCAGGCGTGGTCTCATTTGTGGGGTATTTTTTTTTCTTTTAGGGCGGAACTATATAATTGAAACATGCATTTCAATCTTTTTAATTTTATGAGTACTATGCTCCTTTAATGTAATGGGGACTAAATTCAGTTTATGTAATGGGTACTATAATTCTCTTCATGGAGACCATAGAAAACACCAAGCTGTAGGCGCGCCTAGCAGCCCCCTCTCTTCCTCTCTAGGCATAGCCCTACCACATGGTCTGGTGAGCTGTGGTTCACGCTAAATGTTTACAATCGTAGAGCCGGGTTTAGTGACGGCTATTAGGGGCAGATAATTTAGTTTGAAACGATTTTAAACTTAGGGGAGGTAACTAAGAGGACGCTGCTTTCACGGGGGTGTAGGGTAGGGGTTGGGGTAAAGGAGGGGGGGGGGTTATCGTCTTCAACGAGCTACTGATAGTGTTTTAAAGCAAATATTTTCAGTGGCAGCGTTGGTACTGTCGAATTCACAAATTATGAATTACTGAAAAGTTGAAAATAAAACAACTAAATAGCGGCGTATGATACGCTGCGGGTCGGCTCGTGGGTACTATATTCCTTAAATGCAATGTGTATTATGTTCCTTTAATATAATAGGGACTAAGTTCCTTTAATGTAATGAGTAGGTACTGTCTTCCGTTGATGTAATGAGTACTATATTCCCTAAATGTAACGGGTACTTTCATCCTTTAATGTAATGGGTACTAAGTTCTTGTAATGTAATGGTTACCACTCTCCTTTAATGTAAGGGGTTATTAATGCATTAAATATAGTGGGTACAACATTCCTTGAATGTAATGGGTACTTTATTGCTTAAATGCAATGGGTACTATGCACAGTTTTTGTCATGGGTACTCTTCTCTTTTATTGGAATTGTTGCTAGAATCCTTTAGTTTTTGCCTACTTGCTTTCTTTAATATAATGGCTATTAGTTTCCTTCAATGTAATGGCTACTCATTCTTTAAATATATTGGCAATTAGGTTCCTTCAATGTAATGGCTACTCCTTCTTTAAATATATTGGCTATTAGTTTCCTTCAATGTAATGGCTTCTAGTTTTCTTTAATGTGATTAGTTGAAGTGCGAGCACTTTGGTCCCTTGTGGGTAACCAGTTCACGTCATGGAACTTTTCTTTTAAAATCAAAGGCTCTGATCAATGTCAACCTCTTATGGTTAAGTCAGCGCAGGTGAAAGCACACCTCGTTAGTAGCAGAGGTGTGGCTACGTGGGGGGGGGGCGAAAGCACCGGGCGCCGAACTTAGGGGCGCCAAACGGGACATGAAATATTTTTTTAAATCTCGGTTCTGAGCTGAATTACACAGTCAAAGTGAAGAAAATCGACTGCTATTTGGCTTTGTGGACAGATTTAACATGTTTTTAATTATGTATCAGTAAATATCATAAAATAAAAGCTGTTATGGGACAATTACTGAAAAAGCACCCAATGGGGGTGCGGGAGTGGTTTGTTTGTTTTTTTTTTTGTTTTTTTTTTGCCATCGTGAGACATGGGGTAGGGGGCGTCGTAACATTTATAGTTCCTCCTTGTGCCGGAATAGGTTGCTACGTCGCTGTTCAGAAGTGGCGGAACTAAGGCGGGTGCACGGGGGGGGGGGGGGGGGATGGGGCCTTAGACCAACACCACTCCCTTCAAACTATTTTTATTTAAAGAGAAAAAAATGTGAATTTTTAAAACTCTTTGAAAAGTGTTAAATGTTCTCCGAGATACTTGCAAAAATCGAATGGGTATATATATATATATATATATATATATATATATATATATATATATATATATATATATATATATATATATAATACGACATGTCTGAGTGTCAGACACTGTTTCCCTGTTAACAAAAATGTCTGGCTAAGCTCACATTATAGCCACTAATTTGTATTGTGTGTCAAAAATGATTATGTAAGCTGTAATCGGAGATTCCCTCGGAGCTAATTTTATACTCGCGTGGATTGAAAAGGAAACGTTAAAGAGGGAATACCACCAACAGAGTCTAACGCATTGGCTAATCCGACGAAGTCCTAATGTCGAAACGTTACCTTGTTTGGTAATGTTGGGAAAGGTTATCGGGTTAAATAGTTATTGTCTATTTAACCAATTACATTTGCAATAGTTATTTACTTATTTAACGAATAACATTTGTAAAAGTTATTTTCTATAAACCTATAATATTTGTAATAATTTTCTATTTTACAAATAACATTTATAATAGTTATTTACTTATTTAACAAATAAAATTTGTAAAAGTTATTTTCTATAAACCTATAATATTTGTAATAATTTTCTATTTTACAAATAACATTTGTAATAGTTATTTACTTATTTAACAAATAAAATTTGTAAAAGTTATTTTCTATAAACCTATAATATTTGTAATAATTTTCTATTTAACATATAACATTTGTAATAGTTATTTACTTAACAAATAACATTTGTAAAAGTCATTTTATATTTAACCAATAACATTTTAATAGTTATTTTCTATTTAATCAATAACCTTTGCAATAGTTATTGTCTATTTAAACAATAACATTTGTAAAAATTATTTTCTATTTAATCAATAACATTTGTAACATTTATTTTCTATTTAACCAGTAACATATTTGTAAAAAATAAATTTCTATTTAATAAGTAACATTTGTTAATAATTATGTTTATCATAAACACTCGATCCTGCAAAACAATTAATGTAGTTATTTGTTTCACTTCCTTTCCGGCGTATTCGGTAGTTTTTTGAGCGTCAAATTTCTGGTTCTTTTGTGCCCCTTGTTTACGTTGATATTGTTCATGAGAGGGGGCGGGTGATTTATTGTTGTTGATGTGGAAGATTCCGCCCCCCCTCCCCCCCACCTTTGTCCATCCAGAGTTTATCGGCACTTCCGGGTCACGTGATACTCCCATCCCTTGCGTCGTACAGGGGCGATAAATGTCAGGGGTTGCAGCAGACGATCCCCAGGCAGAAAACTGAGACACATTATTGTCATGAGAGCAAGGGACGGAGGTCCTGCTATTCTAAATAATTTTTTGTATGATTGTATTCAGCATTAGTTTTTTTTAAAGAGACATATTGTCTCACCGTTGTTGTTTTTTTTTTATTTATATCATTTTCATGAAGAAAGAAAAATATTGTTAGATTATGCATTTATTCTATAATTTTTAATATCTTTTTTTTTTGTCATTTTATTGTTGCATCTATTACAAGTCCTTGTAAAAATGCTGAATTGCGTGTCAAATGTTTTGTATTCTGGCATTACCCTTTACCATTTACCCCCTAATTACCTTCCCCCTTCCTTCTGCCCCCCCCCCCCTCCCCACGACCGATAACCCCTTCAAAGTGTCGATTACCTCCCTGTCATTTACAGCGTTAGCGTTAGGCTAATCTTATTCCCTTACATGGCAATCTATAGAATGTTTAGACAACGTACACAAATCTAACTTTTACCTCGCACACTGTCAGCTCATTTTGGTGGATTCTGCACTAATACATAGCCTTGACTCGTACCCCTAACTCTACAACACCCAAACAGATGAACGTTTTATATTGGCTTTTCTCTATTCTGCACTTGTGTATCATTGACTCTAACCCTAACTCCACAAAACACAAAAAGATAAACGTTTTATATTGGCTTTTCTTTATTCTGCACTTGTGTATCATTGACTCGAACCCTAACTCCACAAAACACAAACAGATGAACGTTTTATATTGGCTTTTCTTTATTCTGCACTTGTGTATCATTGACTCGAACCCTAACTCCACAAAACACAAACAGATGAACGTTTTATATTGTCTTTTCTTTATTCTGCACTTGTGTATCATTGACTCGAACCCTAACTCCACAAAACACAAACAGATGAACGTTTTATATTGGCTTTTCTTTATTCTGCACTTGTGTATCATTGACTCGAACCCTAACTCCACAAAACACAAACAGATGAACGTTTTATATTGGCTTTTCTTTATTCTGCACTTGTGTATCATTGACTCTAACTGTAACTCTACAAAACACAAACAGATGAACGTTTTATATTGGCTTTTCTTTATTCTGCACTTGTGTATCATTGACTCTAACCCTAACTCTACACCACCCAAAATGATGAGCTTTTTGTATTGCCCTTTCTTTATTCTGCACTTATATGTACCCCTGACTCCATCGCTAACTCTAAAACGCACAAACATAAGAGCTTTTTATATTGCCATTCGTGATAAGCCACTAATACGGGTTTACGACATTACCCCCCCCCCCGTTAATTACCCCCCAGGCATCCCCCCACACCCGACCCCACCCCCCCCCCCCCCCGAAGAAATTACGCCCTCGGGAATTAACCTCCCCCCTCCCCCCAAGTTCAACAATCTTAACTCCAACTCTTTACCTATATATTACCTTAATCCTATCCATTAGAAAAAAACCTAAGCATTCACCTCAGCCTAAAACTTAACCCAACACCAACCTAGACATTGGAAGCCTAACCCTGACCCTAACTGTACCTTAAGCTATGACAGGAGGGAGGGTAATTGTCTGAGGGATAATGCCCTGATCCCCACTAATACATAGCCTTGACTCTACGCAGTGGCGTAGGCAGGGGGGGGGGGGGGTTAGGGGGTCATAACCCCCCCAACATAGACCCCTCGGTATATATAAAAATGTATGAGGGGGTGAAAATCGAAAGTTTGAGGGGGGGTGCAAATCGAAAGTTTGAGGGGGGGGGTGCAAATCGAAAGTTTGAGGGGGGTGCAAATCAAAAGTCTGAGGGGGGGTGCAAATCGAAAGTTGTCCCCGGGTAAAAATTGTAACCCCCCCTTGAGACGATTCTGGCTACGCCACTGACTCTACGTCTAACTTTTCAACACCCAACAGAAGAGCTTTTTATGGCCGTACGTGATTCTGCACTTATACATAACCTTGACTCTTCCTATTACAGCAATACCACACAGAAACATGCAATTTATTTGCCCTTCGTTTTTTTTTTAAATAAAAAATTCAGCACCGAAAAATGTTGTAACTTTAACATTATGTACTTATTTTTATTTCGAAACCTCGTCGTAATGAATTTATTGCATTATCTTTGTATCAAGTGGGGTAAGGGAGGTCATGCACTAACGTAAAAAATGGCTCTGGCTCAGACAGGGGATCTAAGAAAGTATGTACTGTACAGCTTAGCGTTCGGTATGCAAACGCTAAGCTCCTTGTGTATACCTGTTTGATGTGATCGGATTCGGGTGATTTTTTTTTTATAAAGATTTAGGTTGTTGACCTTATAGAAATTAAATTTAAAAATTTAGGAACGGGGGGTGAGGGGCTGAAGGGCAAGTGCAGCAGAGTTTATCTGAGCCAATTGTAGCGATGTTTGTAAGTGTGGTATTGCAGAAACAGTAAGGATAGATTCATCAGATTTGATTCAGGTGAGGGACATGATAGAGAATGGGCGGCGGATCTATTCATGCTTAGAAATTGAACTTTCTAATTGCTGGAATATATATATATATATATGTGTGTGTGTATATATATATATATATATATATATATATATATATATATATATATATATATATATATATATATATATATATATATATATATATATATATATATATATATATATATATATATATATATATATATATATATAATTTTTAATTAGGGATTTCGATTTTTAAAAATATAGCTGAACAATTTCCTATTTGTTATTCTGATCACACAAATAATACGTTATACTTTTGCTTAAAATGCTATGATCGCTATTTCTCAATTCATTCGACAGCCGTACAATCTATTCTAAGAGAAATCTTCATTTAATCAAATCCATCTCTACACCCGTACAGCGACGGGAAATTTTGCTAGTATTTTTTTTTTCATTTTTTTTTTACCCTGTCTCAATTTTTCCATCTAGACAGACATAAACTACTCGAAAATTTCTTTAAATAGTTTTATGGATGTTTTTTTTTTTATCTCCCCCCAGGAAAAAGACCTTTGTGAACTGAGACGCCACACGTACGAGAGCTCAGTGGATAGGTCAACGGTCAAGAAACTTGTGAGGCAGGTGTTCAAACCTTGTAGGTGTTCGGAGATCTACAGCAAAGGCGGGGTAAGTGGGGTGTGTGGGGTAATTGTGGGGTGTGTGGGATAATTGTGTGGGGTAAGTGGGATGTGTGGGGTAATTATGGGGTAGGTAGGAAGTGTGGGGTAATTATGGGGGATGTGGGGTAAATGGGGTGTGTGGGGTAATTGTGGGGTAAGTGGGGTAAATGGGATTTGTGGGGTAATTATGGGGTAAGTAGGAAGTGTGCGGTAATTGTAGGGTAAGTGGGATTTGTGGGGTAATTATGGGGTAAGTAGGAAGTGTGGGGTAGTTATGGGAGGTGTGGGGTAAATGGGATGTGTGGTAATTATGGGGTGTGTGGGGTAAGTTGGATGTGGGGTTATGGTGGGATGTCTGGAATAGTTGTTGGATTACAATGTGGTAATGGTGGGGTAGATGGATGTGCGGGGTGGTGGTGTGGTGATATGTGGGATTATGGCGTAATAATTGTGGGGTAGGTGGATGCGTGAAGTAGTAATGTGGTCAGTGTGAAAATAGGAGGTAATTGGGAACATATGGGATTCGTGAGAATGTAGGTTAATTGGGGATATATGGGGTAGTTGGGATTATTGAGAATGTAGGGTAAGTGGGAATATATGAAGATTGAGTGTTAATGATGGGGCACATACGAGTCGGTGTTAATGGTGATGTAAGCGGTACGGGTGAGAATCTGTGGAAACGTCTGGAATGTCTGGGGTAAGGGGGAATATGTTTGCAAGGTGAAAAAGTGGGAATCAATGGCAACCTTGGGGTTTATTGACAAATCAATCTACGGCGAAGATGGAGTAATTGGCAATCTGCGGAGACCGCGGTGTGAATTCCGATATAAAGATTAAGCGGGGGTTAAGGGAGAAAACAGGAATACAAGTACCCGTTTAGGATGGTAGCTCTAATAGAGCAGGTGAAGTAGAGCATTTCGGTGTATTTGTACTCTGCGTATGTGTAGTAAAAATGGGAGCCGGGCGTTTTCCCGAAGGTCGTTTGCCTTAAATGACACGGGCTAGTGGCTTTCGGGGATTTGTGCTATTCGAGCAAATATAGATTCTGGCTATTATCGCATTTGGACAAGTGTCTCGGGAAAATGACATTCGGGCTAGTGTCCATTCGGGCAAGTGTCCTTTCGGGCAAATGTCCATTCGGGCAAGTGTCCTTTTGGTAATTTTCGTCAAACCTAGTCAAATATATGCCTGTCTGTCTTTACCCTTCCTGTACGATTTGGGTGAACTCAACTGGAGAAGGCTGCATCTGACCACACCGATCGATTTTTACCTAAACCCGTACATGTGCATGGCCGCCCTCTATACATAGCGCACAATGACAATCTTGCGTATTAAAGCCGGAAAATCACGGCTCAATCTAAAGAAATCTGCGAGATTCATTGTCAGGTCTTCTCATGTCTTGTGTAGGCTGGGGTCAATAAATGTGTTTGTGGTCAGTCAAAAAGAAGAAATTCGCTCCGGATACAACATCCAAGATAGTTATGCTACCAAACAAATTGTGTCGAGCCCATAATTTTTACTATATGAACAAGTAATGTTTGCTTAACCCCGTCTCCTAAATAGCTGTGTTCACCTATTAATTTAACCTTAACGCATTGTTAGCTTTAAAGTGGGAGCAGATATTGCTTTTGAAAAAAACCATACCTTTTTCCGTAAAATACCCAACTAATGTTCTCATAAAACTTATAATAATCAGAAAAATTAATAAAATCTTACACGAATATAGTATATCGGAATAAATGCTTCCATTTTCTTCAAAACCCCGTGTGTAAATAAAATCTAAAAAAAAGGTACCCTTTCGAACCAGATGACCAATTACGGCAGTTGAAGGTTCACCTGTTTCTGTAACGAGTCAATCACCAATTCAGGGACAGACTCATTCCCGAAATCCGAACTCAAATTTCGGGTTATCGACCACACGCTCTACCATCCGACCACGCCGCCTTAGTACCGATACCATTTACATAATCAAAATCAATCCATCAGTCTCAACCAACTGCCACTGTACTATTTACATAAACACGCGCCTCGGGGTCTAATCTAACAATAGACTCACTCCCCTTACACTTGTCTTGTTAATGTATTCGTAACTGGAGGTCTATGAATAAAGTGCTCGTCTTGTTAATGTATTCGTGACTCGAGGTCTATGAATAAAGTGTTGGTTTGAATGCATGGCATTACAAAAAGTGTTAATGCGGTAGTTGTTTTTGTTTGCTCTGAATTTCATTCTTCTTGAATTATTTTTTGGCCCTTTTTTTTAAAGTTCCTAATTGTAATCTTGCACGGGATTTCCTCTAACATACTCAAGTATTGCGTGTCAAAATGTTAAGCGCCATTTGGCCCGTTAACTCTGATTTCAGCCTGCTTTTCTTTTCTGGATTTGCTTCCGTAGCCTTTGTCTACCCAAGAACCAACTACAAGGCAGCAGTTGTTTAACTCTGGAGTTTATCTCACTAGATGGGTTGCTTTCCCCAGCTAACGAGCCCCGTCTGGCCGGGATCCGAACTCAGATCTTTACCGCCCGATCAAGCTGTACTATATTTTTACTTTCTCGTATATACGAAGTATAGAGAAAGTCTTGTAATCGTGAAAAAAAAATCTAAATTTTTACACATCTCGACGTTTTACACCTCCCTGAGTCGGAAAAACATATTTTTGCAATCTTGTCCGTATGTCTGTGTGTGTGTGTCTGTAAACTTGAGCACCGTTACAGCTAGGTTGATGAAATTTCATATATAAGTATATTATCAAAATCGTAGATCCGTATCAACTTTTAAGCGATTTGCGATAACCGGAAGTGGTACTTTTTCTACTTTGAAATTTTCAAAAGCCTATAACTTGAGTACTATTTCAGATAGATAAATGAAATTTCACATGTAAGTAAAAGATCTAATCCTCTACCTTCTATTAAATTTTGAGTCATTTCCGTTGACCGGAAGTAGTAATTTACGCTATTTCCGATTTCTCAAAAAAACGCATGTAAATTTATAAAGTACTAATAATATTCCGCACTATTATGCATATTTTGTTTTGGCGTTCACTTGGTGCACAATTCTTTTTTCTACGAGATTCTATTCTATTTTAAAAAGTTTAAGTAATAAAAATCATGTCTATATTCCGAGTTGTCATCCCACGTAGTGTTATATAAGAATATTCGAGAAAGTTTAGGGGAGATCACTCCCGGTTTATTTTTTTTTACTGTCGAATCTTAAACAAATTATGTGTGTCTGTCGAATGCTGTAAAGTCTTAGAGTACTCTTGTGTGTGTGCGTATGTGTGTGTGTGTGTTCCGACATGAAACCCCTCAATCTGTTGGCATAAAATCAATTTTTAAAAGAAACCGATTCGACATTCGAATACGAGACCCTACGAGCCTGAATATCAAATGTTGCAATTGATTTAAATAAAAGCTTTGCGTTGTAGAGTGATTTGTTAGAGAATCCTTAATCGATCTCAATCCCAAAATGTCTCATCGATTTCAGTACAACAGTCCGTGTGCAATCTTTCTTCCACTCTGCCTCACCTATAAACGGCAAGGTGCTCAATATTAAATGGTTTCATACACGATCAATCATAGTGAAGATTTATTATTTTTGTTTATTTATTGACGTAGTTTCGATTCCTTTATTATCGCTCGCCGCCTTTCTTTAAAGGCCTGTAAAATATTGTTTCGTATTACTAAATAAATGCATTGAACGGCGAGGCCTAGCGGTAGAGTGCTGCTAACCCGAAAGTCTCGAGTTCCAATTCCTTCATTTGCGCAGGTCAATAAATGGATCGTTAGGTCATTATTTTTTTTTAACTTTTTACTCAATAAATGTAATGTTGAGTTTTTAAAGCATATTCTCATTTATTTGTCGTATTTACTTTCAAGGCTTGTAAAATATTGTTTCATGTTACTCAAATAATGTGACTTCGAGTTTTTAAAACAACTCCCCCCCCCCCCCCCCCTGTCAACCACAGACAGCCCTGCCTTTCTTGAACCCTGTTCCTGTAATAGAAAGACGCATATGACGATATTTTCTAAACTCATTTTTTTTTAAACGCCGTTTCCTATTTTAAACTTTGTTTATGGGCTTTAACTCTGAATTGACTGAAACTTTGATTCGCTTTCGCAACTGTAGCAGTGAATTTACTACCGAGATTCGCACTAGTTCGTGTGATTTGATACTATCAGTTTCTTTGGCGAAATGTCCTCTAAATAGAGCTGTCTTTTACTCCAGGGTAACACTATCTTGACTGCATTAGGACCCAGCCGGATACTGGGGGTGACCTTATTAGTTAGTGACCCGTTATGGCTGGTCTATTTTGATCACCACATCCGGTCTGATACCTGATAATATCTTGATGGGTGAAATTATGCCGAAAGTACATTGTGGAGGACATATTTGCGAGGAGATGGAAATGGTTTGAGAAAATACGTGAATTTTTTTTAATGGGAAGATCTTTGAAATTTTGAAGTTTTTGTGGAGACATGGGGATTTTTTAGAGAGGGCGTGAGAATTTTGTGTTGATATGTGGAAATTTTGTGTGCAGATGTGAGAATTTTGTGTGGGGATGTAGGAATTTGGAGACGTAATTGTGTATAAAGGTGTGAGAATGTTGTGTGGGGATGTGAGAATTTTGTGTGGGGATGTGAGAATTTTGTGTGGGGATGTGGGAATTTTGTGTGGAGATGTGAGAATTATGTATGGGGATGTGGGAAATTTGTGTGGGGATGTGGGAATTTTGTGTTGATATGTGGGGATTTTGTGTGGAGATGTGGGGATTTTGTGTGAAGATGTGGGGATTTTGTTTGGGGGACTTAGGAATTTTGTGTGGAAATGTGGTCTTTTTGTGTGAATATGTGGGGATTTTGTGTGAATATGTGGGGATTTTGTGTTGATATGTGGGGATTTCGTTTGGAGATGTGAGACTTTTGTGTGGAGATGTGAGAATTTTGTGTTAAGACGTAGGAGTTTCTGTGGCGGTGTTGGTATGTGTGAATTTTTCGTGAAGACGTGGGGA